AAGGACATTCATAAAATGTAAATGAAATCACGTTCAGCTTTTGTTCTGGCTCTACCCATTATTTTTACAATGCAGACCTTAAAAGCTAAAAACAGCGCTTAGCCTAGAAGAAGTTGGGTATACTACATTATATTACATTTGTCTTTGAAGATACTCTGTCATCCAGGTCCTGGTTGTCCCAAAGATACTTTTGTCAAAAGGCAATTGGAGTTTGTTTTTCCTTGAAGACGTTTTCGCTTCTCATCCAAACTGCTTCTTCAGTTTTGGCTGAAAGGATGGATTTATAGTTCTTGCAGTCATCTTTAGCACTCTTCCTGAGAATCACTGAGGCACAGATACAACTCCAAGTGGCCTAAATGACTCTCAGAAAGAATGCTAAAGTCCAGATGATTGGAAGGAATATAAATCCTTCCATCCTCTAGCATTCAGCCAGAACTGAAGAAGCTTCTTGGATGAGAAGCAAAACATCTTCTCATCCAATCCAGCTGCCTTTTGAAAAAACATATTTGGAATATTACATTACATTATGATTGTAATCTGTCTATATAACACTAAAACACTGATTGTTATGACCTTTAACTGGTACATCATAGGACAACAATTTTTGAACAAAGGTATCTCAAATGGGCTACCTTACAGAATGTATCCAAGATCCATGACTCAATGAAATTTGGGGAAAATGTGGTTGCTTTAATATTACTGGCTACAGTTATGCTTCTGCTACAGTCATGTGATCTTCATTTTCAATGTTCCATAACAGTTTCCCAGCCAGTCTCATAATCCCTTACTCAGTCTCTCACTCAGCAGTGGTGACTTACTGGGGAGGGGAGGAGAATGGAGAGGAGGGGAGAGGAGATTTCTGATGTTCCTGGCCAGATTCCCACAAGGAAACTCAGTGGGGAAGCCAGCAAAAAATGAAAAGTCGCTCACACTACTACTGCTTTTTTGCCAATCTGTGGTCATTCTGGTTCTCTGTTTAGATAATGAAATACCTCTGAAATGATGACACAACTGCCAAGGGTTGTCCAGTTATTATATTGTCTGGAAATTTGAAATGTTTATTATGTTAACATTTCTTTTCACATAGTCAGATTACAGCCATTCAAATAAATTAAGATGCCATGTATATCTACCCAAAACTTGCATTATTAAAAGTCTGCCTGGCATTGTCTTTAGATCCATTTTTCTATTATTGTTTAGAGTGGCTTGAACCATATTATGTTTGCTGCCTTCAAAAAGTAGCAGCTATTATTGGATAAGCAGTATGATTCTAATTGGATTTCTGAATATTAATGTATTTCACCTCACATTTTGTAGGCAAGTATACAAAACAGTTGATGGGCATGATTAATCGCAGCTGATATTGGAGTTTAGATGATATAGCTCTATTACATGAACCTTGTATTAAAGACTATATATCAAGGATGATTTATTACTTAGAAGAAACAGAACAACGTGCCTTCAATATCAAAGAGTAGCTAGATAACAGATAGCTGCACAAAGCTGCTGTTATTTAGCATAATCTAGCTGTTTCATGGCAAGCAACACCATCAGATAGGTAGGTAGGTAGGTAGGTAGGTAGGTAGGTAGGTAGATAGATGATAGATAGATAGTTAGATACATAGAGAGATGGATAGAGAGATAGACAGATAGATAGGTAATATATAGGTAGGTAGGTAGGTAGGTAGGTAGGTAGGTAGGTAGGTAGGTAGGTAGGTAGATAGATAG